TCAAAAAACTTCAAATTTGCTTATTTATTTCTTCACTACTTAATTTTAATAATTAACTTGTATTACTTTTTGTTCATAAATGATAGATCAACTTTTTTTGGTTGAAAAATGGGCAAAACTTCATATAAATGAAGAATTCTTTAATTAATATAAAAGTTAAGATTTTAATTCAATAATTGAAATTTTGAAATTTCTAACTACTTGATCATTCGATTTGAAAAAAACAGTTCTTCACTTAAAAGAATAATTATTTCTACGGTTGAATGAAGTAAAAGTTACTTATACTTTCATAGCAATTTTTAAAAACTTATCCTTCTGCTAAGAAATTTCAAATCTGTTCAGATTTATTTTTTGTAAATATCATTTTTAATTTTTAAAAAAGTAAAGATTGATTTTTTTGATATATTTAGATCACAAAACTCGGAACAGTTGAAATAGATCTTGAAATTTAAAACATTTTTCCATATTCTCATAAGTGATATCACAAAATGGTAAACAATAGATCAGATTATTAACAATTATATATTAGATTAATACTATATTAAATTATTTTCATTGAGTACTGTATTAATTCCAAATTAAAATAAGTCATTTTTATTAAAGGTTAATTTGGCATCTTAAATATTCAAATAACTGTCAAAAAACTGATACCAAATGTGGTAAAAGTTGAAAAATGGCTATTATTTTAAAAGTTGTACAATTATTAATTCAAAACTTTGAATAAAACTTCATGTAAAGGAATAAATGACAGAAATAATTAATTCTTTAACTGCACTGGACGTAATAAAAGTTGCTAATACTAGAATCTATATGCAAAATAACTTTTGAGCATTTAAAAAGTAACTGTAAAAAGAATACTTTTGTATGCTTTTACGAATTTCAAAAATTTTAAAACTGTACAATTCTTATTACATTCTTATTAATTTATTAACCAATTAATTAAAATAAAAAAATATAACTTTCGCAAAAGTATTACTATTTTAAAAACTTTGTTTAAATGTTAAATAATATTTAACATTTTCATAACAATTTTTATTCATATAATCAATCCATTTAAAACAATGGAAGAGTCTTTATGCTTATTCTAAAAAATAATTAATATTGCTAAAAATCCGTTGGTGCAAGTCAAGATCAGATCACATTATAAATCAAGCAAATAAACTGCAATTCGATAAGCAAAAATTAGTCTAAATGCAAGTTCATGCTCGTTTGTGCGTGAAACTGCTTTTATTTTCATCTTTTTTCTGATTAATTTATATTTCATGCAAATATATTCAACTTTTTTTCATCAGACGTCGCAATAACTTTTATGGATTAAAAAAAATTTTATGGAACTCAATTATGATCAAAAGTTATAAGTATGGATAGAATGGAATGCTTGTTAGCATTTAGATTATACAATGTGAAAAGATATGAGATAAATAAAGTATATTTAAAAATTTATCCGGCTAAAAAGTTATATAATTTTCAAGCAGTATTTTAAGGTAGATAAATTTACTTTTTAATTTTTTTCTACTTGAATTGATTTTTCAGCATGATGTCAGAAAATAATAAAGTGATTACAGTAATAATGGATTTTTTAAAGTATTAAAATTATTGTGCATGAATTCATAAATAAGCAATGAACCATGTAAGAGCAAAATTAAAATCTTGCAAACGACATATTTACTCAAGTCAATCATTTTTAATATTTAAGTAATAATTCAGTAACTGACTGCATTTAAGCAAATTATTATTCAAAAATATACTCAAATTTTAAAAATACAAAAAATTTACATTAAACAAATCCAAAATTAAGTGAATTAAAATTTGTAATATTATTAAGTAAATTAGTATCAAAAAGGCTTGCAATTATTAATATTTTATATTAATTGTCAATATTTTAAACAGAAATATTTGAAATTTAGTAAAAAACAAAACGAAACTAAGCATTTTGAATCACTTTAAATATAATCAACACTTATTTTTCAGAAAAAAAAGTTTTTTTAATGAAATTGAATAAATATAAAAAGTTTTTTCAACTATGCAATGAAAATTAATATTCAATTTACAATTTTCTTAATACAACAATACTTTTTAATTGTTTTTGTGAAAATTGATCAAATAATTAATTACTTCATTTAATAATTAAATTTACACTTCATGACGTCTTAATTGAGTTATTTTGTTAACAAATCCTGAAAATAATGCAATCTTTTCATCTGAAACAATTTTATTAATTATCATAAATGAGATATGCAAAAGTAAGTAATTCATCATTATGTGCTGACTGCTTAATGCATTTTTACTTTGTAAGATTTGTATAGAGCATAAAGAGCTATAATTAAGAAATAATCTTTATATTTAATAAAAAGAATCTTTATTAATAAAATTTAGGATATTTAGCAAAAAGTGTTATGATCAAAATACAATTAATTATTAATCTCTGAAATCCACTTGGAAATAGTGATTGCTAAGACTTAAATTAAAATATGCATAGACTGAAACTAGTAAGATAAGCAAATGATTATTCAAATTATTTTCATGCATTAGAAATTAGACTTCATCTAAATTGAAAAGAACAGAAAAGTTGCAAAAAAAAGTACATAAAGTTTTAAGAAGCAAAATTGAATGCTTTGTAATTATATTTTTTAGAAGGTAGTAAAAAACAACTTTGATTTACTAATAACAATCATTTTTTTAGCAGAACTAATAAAAATAGATATATTATTTATCAAATTCACCTCAGTGATCTAATCATTTTATTGATAAATTTATCAATAAAAATGAGATTAATCTTTAATAATAAACAATTAAACAAATTGTACGACTATAAACATAAACTTTTTCAGTAATCATGATTATCAAAAATGATTATTTACAAGAGATGATTATTCTGAAAACTTATATCGCACGAGAGATAAAATAATTTGTAATATAGTATTGTTGAAGTAAAGCAGTTTAATAATAATTCTCTGCTAAAGTTACCAAGAAAAAAAGTAATTGCATGTCAAAACATCAAACAAGGTATCATAATATTTCAAAAAACAAGCATCAGTGTTATTCTTTCACGTAATTGAGAAATAACGCTTAAAGCTGTTTGCATTAAGCGTATAAATATGCTACAAAAATAAATATTATTGTAATTCATTATATATAATTCGTAGTAAAGTAAAGCTTTGCTTGCATATTCAAAACAATCATACTAAATCCTCACGTTGAAATTTTTTTTAAAATTTAATTCCATCAAGAATTTATAAACTTTTATATATTCACTGTTAAGTTGCAAAAATTAATCTACAAACTTTACATAATAAAAATGATAAAAATAGTAAATGAATTATCAAATGCGAAAATAACTTATAAATTAAGTATGCAAAAAAATTGCAAATAATATTTAAAAACAGCAAAACGGATCCTTATCTCATAATTATTATTTGTAAGGATAACATTGATCTTAATATCTATTTTTTGAAAATTTATTATTAGCAAAATAATTTTTGGTTGTTTGCAATGTTTACGAATAATTTATAGTGATTGTGTAGAGTAATAACTGCACTGATTGTAAAAAGATTATTAATAATCACAAATTCATTCTAGCAGTAATAAATTTATAGACGTGACCTTTGTAACCTTTCTAGATTTATCTGCAAATTTCTCTCAAGAAGGCTAAAAGTCTACTGTTGACTAGCAAATAAGTTGAAATGAGCACTTATCCAAGTTTTAGTCTACTTTTGCTGCTTTAAACTTTTTTCTAGCTAACATGTCACATTGAATTTGCATTATCAATGGTTTAGATTCATTGCTAGTAGACCATTTTTAAGAAACTTTTAATTTGCATATATTGCGTTTATTTTTAACTATTTTTTCCTTTTTTACATCAATTATTATAAAATATTTTATTAAAAAACCATTTACTTCATATAATCATACTATTATTTTACATAACCAATTATCATTTCCAATTTTTGAATTCTTCTCATAAAAGTAAATATAATCATATTACTTATTATCATATCTAATTGAATCATTTCTAACATGCCATTCATTCATATCTACTTTTTAAACAATAGTTAAATTTTCTATGGCTTATTTTTATTAGCAATAAGATTTTTTAACTCTCCATACACATCGATTTTCTATATTCAGACATATTTGAGGAGGAAGTACACAACAATCATATTATAATAGTAGCGAAAAAAACTACTAAATATTTCATAAAAACTTGCCAAATTTTATGATCTAAAAATTGTCGACTTTTGATCTTAAAAAGAAATTGTGAAAAATCAAATTTTGATTCAGAATCAAAATTGTGATCCATCTTTAGGTATCAGATATCATTTTCTCTAAATAATTACAAGCAGAGTAATAACACGTCAAAAATTTGCATACTAATTGCATTCTCTTCATCATTCTTACACCAACTCTTAATTAAGTATGAAAGAATTTGAATTTGAAAGCTAAAAATTATATCTGTTCATTTCATTAAGTGAATATGAACTACACATACTATGGCCAAATTATAAACTAAGCGAAAACTGAATACTTTAAATGTATACAAAGCAGATTAAGTAAACAACCCAAATTTTGTGCCAGCTAGCTAGACTGCAGAGAGAGACTAGTATCATAGCAAATCATAATACATATATAAAAGTATTCGGCACCTTAATGTAAGACATTAAATGGACCAGTGCTCACTGGAAATATACTGATAATTGCCCACACAATTTGTCACATTCACTACGTCTGTACCTTACCAATAGTCCACTTCAAAGTACAATTATTTTATTTTGCCTTCAAATGGAAAGAGATCAAACAAGTCACTTCATATTGGGTTGCATTTTGTTCAGATGAAACTATGCCTGATGCTTGTAGTTTTCAAGACAATAATGCCACAATTGTTATCACATGCTTCTCTTTATTATTTACCGGAATATTGGGCACTTTGAAAAAAAAATCATTGTGAGCAGATAAAATTCACAAAAATTATGCATGATAAAGACACATTTGGTGTATAATAATCAAGAATTCCGCGTTGAAATCTTCCAAATTAGCTTTTGGCATCGAATATATTCTGCCAGATGACATGTAAGCTGAAAATTTAACATAAATATTTTTACCCTCTCTTTACAAAACTTAGTATCAGGACGTTTCAAACCACTTAAAAACAATACGTGCAGTAGTTTTAAAGGTTTTTTACTTGCTTATAAATTTACCTGATCAATGTTTCTTGAAGGCATTGAAAATGTTAATCGTTCTCGAGTGGTTTCCTCGGGATGAGCTTGAGGAGGAAGAATTCTTTCGATGGTGAGCATAAAATCATTGTGATAACCACCAAATGATACCAATCTGTGGTATGGAATACTTCTTATGAGATCCTGCAAAATACAAAAGCGTTAAAAAAGTAATCTTACTTTCGAATTCTAATGCAACAGCTTGCTTTCTCAATTTACTCGTTTAGCAAATTGCTGTACTCGTCAAACTACGGGATATCACGAGAAATATACTGCTAACATAAATACACTTCTCATTGCGATACATTTGAAAAACAATGTAGATTTAAACATTATCTTGCAATAACTGCAGTGGCAGATTCTCTCCAGAACTATAAGCTCAAATTTTCATTCGCAAATACTTACAAGTTGCCGAAAAGTGAGTAAATGAACGCCTTGATCGTTAAGCGCAATAAATAAACTTTCGTCGCTACGCATTTTCATGCGTGCTTCTGTAATAAACGATCCGAAAAATCGCCATTTTCGCAATACAACTAATATCATTCGAATACAATCAGTAGATGACATGTCATGTAACTGTGACCAATTAATTTCCAGATTTAACCTAGAAAGGAATGTATTTTTTTTAACGGTTAAATATGGTACTATCAAGCGAAAAAAAATTTAGGACTAATGTAGGACTAATAACACATTGTCCCAATTAAAATCAAGAAACTTATAACGCTGTATTTCTTCTCACCTTAGCAATCTTTCAGAGCCGACATTTAACAGTTTTGATGGGTAATAAGAAGTTATGATTTCACGAAATTGTTCATCCATTATTTTTTCCATATTACCATATTTTAACTGAAAAATGACACAAAGTTTATTATAGGTAGGTGTAAATTACACATCTGTTAATTGTAGAGCAACTAAATCCGTGCTATAAAAGGAAGCTAATAAAATAACTTATAAAGACAATGACCTGAGCATAAACAGCAGCTAATTCCTCAGCTAGTTCGCTACTTAATGGTACTCTACCAGCAACAATTTCATTAGCCATTCGATGCACCAAAAAGGAACGTTCTGTTGGCGTCTCTGAAGAGACTAAATGACTCCAATATTGTCTCTGTCGAACTGCCAACTTTATTCGAGCGACATCTTCAGTAACACGTCCACATTTGTTGTCCATAAGTTCACGTTCCCAACGTGAAATGCAGTCACATAACTGTAAAGGTATTGAAGTTTCTTATTGAAAATATGTAAAGCATGTTTTTATTGCAAGGAACAGATTTTTTTCCCTGAGAAGCTAAAAAAGAGTTGGACGTATCAAAACTATTTCCAACTTCTAAATAACCTTTTGCTTGTTTCTGAGAAGAAGATAAAAATTAGGCTCAAGTGGATCTTCCACATAAAGAGCATAACCGCTCAAAAGAGCAGGCCTTAAGCCACATTTGACGCATAAACTCGACAGGCAATCACCAATAAGAGTTGAACCATCAAAATCAATAACCTCAAAAATTTTTGATCCTTCACTGCCAAGGATGATAAAATGAGACGAAAAATTTTTTAAATTGAAAGCTATTATAAAATGAATTCAAGATTTTAAATGGTATTCAAAAACAAAGCAGTAATTATCAATCATGCAATTAGTTAAATATTCATTTTTTGATGGCGTACATGGTACTCATTCGTTGGTAATAATACCGGAATACTGTGAGGCATATTTGTTGAAGTTGGATCTCTGGTCAAAATAGAAATTGTTTCCAATTTACTTGGCCCCTCGGTTCGTCCACCAGCATTTAAACAGCGATTGAGCGCGCGTAAACAATATAACGCAAAATTACCTTCATCACATCTGCATGGAATAAATTACACGCATATATTAAGCACATGTATAACAAAGTCAAATTTCTTACAGCTGTTAACAAGTTTATTTCTTTGGAACCGAAACTTTCGCAGCTGAATTCAGCCTTTATCAAAATCAGAAGAAAAGAATCAAAAAATGAACGGAAAACGAAAAAAATCCATACAAAAAACAAAAATAGCACCTTTTTTCACTCCATTTTTCAATATGCCGACGGAGTAACCATAATAAAGAGTACTGTCGAGGTGTAAATAGTGGTACCGTTAAAGCTAATAATTTCCAGGCCTAAACATACTTTTTAATATGCAAGCGCTGTTGCACAAAATATAATTAGAATATATAAGCTTTAAACATGATTATAAATATTTGTGTAAAATAGACATTAAAGGATAAACAAAATCATCAAAATATTTTTCATGCATCAGCCTCTGATGACTAATATTATGGAATAAAGATCAAATAAATTAACTGAACGAAACAGAAAGATGCACCTGAATTCCATAAGGCATCGAACCACATGTAAGTTTGACCAAATTAGCATAAAGCTCATTTTTAAGCAAATCACTAAACATCGCTGTTGTTAAAATGTTCTGCGCGAGGTCAATATGATATTGCACTCCTGTTGGTCTCATCAAAACAGAAGTAAACATATAACACGCTCGACCAAGTTCTAGTGCTTTTTTTTTGAAGGTTTCGTCGCAAACTGTTGTTAGCGTTTCCTTTGGCTTCTCCTCGCAAATAGTTAAGAGCACATCATTCCACATTGAGTTTTCTTTAAAAAAGTTGAACTAGAAAAATGATAAAAAACTTTCCCTTCCTTTTTTTAGTGGTAGACTTGTAAATCATAAGCTGAAGTAACAATTCTAAAAGAAAGAGCGTATGAGAAAAATACGAGCACTTTTTTGAGATTTCAAAACTCATCCGAAAATTTCATTTCCAAGTTTATCTTTATAAAATACTTTTAATTCAACTCATGAAAAAAATGATACAAAATTTATTTCAACTCAAAGACATAAACTTTCAGGATGAAAATTCTACCATCATCAACATTCTGTGCCATCATTCGCTGTATGAGCACCTCAAAAGTTGTTCCCTTAGTGGCTGCATCATTAGCTGCTTTTTTGAGATAATAGATCCACTTATCTTTTTCTTCAGCAGTTCGCAGAATAATGTAAACAGGATCAGCATTAACAATCTCCAAATATAACAACATAATTCATTGAAAAAGAGTTGGAAAAGAAGAAAAAGGATGCTGAACAATTTAGCAATAAATTTAAGAAGTTTGAGAATAATTTTAAAAACTGAAAACCTCAATTGAAATAGTGTGATCAAATTTCTTGGAATGGTCTTCATTTTGCTCATCTGAACTTCCACTTGATTCTTCGCAAGCATTTTTGACTTTATCACAAATGTGAGCACCTTTCAAATACATATGAGAACACGGTACCTGAAAAAATACATTTAGAGATTCAGCAAGTGTGCCTATCAAGTAAAATAAATGTAAAGCATTAAAAGTAGCATTAAACACGATTTAAGCTGTTTTAAAGTATAAGTAATGATACAAACCCGATCATCAGAACTTTTGAAAAATAACAGCTTATTTTCCACAACAGATGCAAAAAACCGCCGTGTACTACCGCATTTTGCCTGCAATTGCAAAAACTGCTTCAATATTAAGATACAAAATTATGTAAAATTTTCATAGTAATAAAATAAAAGAATCCATTTAAATCATTTTTCCATTTTCATTAAATTATTTTTCACCATATCAGATGAAGTTTTGATAATGTAACCTTGATCACATATCCACTGATATCAGCATTAAGTCCTGTAGCACGCTGACAAACTTCAGAAATAGTCGTTGTACGTAAGCTTTGTGTTAATATAGCTATCCATTCATCAGTAGCACGATCTGATTCAGCTGCATAACAATACTGACAATTCGGTGTGGTTATCTAAATAGAGAAACAAAACGTAAGTCTATATAAGTGATGAGTTTCAGCCACAGAACCATGAAGTTATTTTTTTTTGTTTCAACAGGAAAAAGAAAATGAAAAATGTTAGAAATTAGTACAGAATTTAAAAAAATAACCTGCAGTCCGTAACCCATTTTATTGATTAGTTTCGTAACTGAACGAATATCAGAAATAGGAATTTTAATCAGAGGTTCCTCTCCTTTCAAATGATTCTTCTGAGAAATAAAGCATAATTTGATAGTCTTTACGAAAAGATGATTAATTGCAAATTTAATGCACTTAAGTAAATTCCACATAAATAAATTCTAAATTGAAAAACTGTGATAATGTACTTGCAGTAAGTGGAACGAGGAATGAATATTGAAAAAAAATATGTCGAAAGTAAAAAACCGGTGACTAACTTGCGTTCTATATAAAGTAAGAAAGCTATTTCTAAGCACAAAATATCTTCTTTTCAACGATTTGAGTCTGTTATCGGTCATTTGTACTAAATAACCACACTTTTCGACCTAAAAACAGAGTTGCTAGTAACAATCAGCAAAAAAGTTCTCATGAACTGTGCAGCAAATAAAGTACGATATTTAACGATCTAAAAAATTGAAAACAAATTTTAATTTAAAGTGAGCGAAACTGCTTACAGGTTCAAATGCACTGATCAAAGTTGCTCTGATATCTTGATTTGCATCTGGTGGCACCGCGTAATCTCCTTCTTTAATGTTAGGAAAATCGATGCGGCTTTTATGCCGATTTGATGACCTAGAGCTTTCACCAGAACCACATGAAGGAGATGAACAGAAATCACTGGTCTGCAAGATAATAAATTTTATTCCATAATATTTCAAACTAAAATTTAAGAATCTAAGAGAAGTAAAACTCACATTATCACTCATATTTCTGTTCAAGGTGACACTACATTGAGCCAGCTGATCTTCATTAATCACCGTGCTAAGGCAACGTTCAGCTATTTGATATAATTTTGTTTCCTTAAAAATTGAAATAATTCAAAGCACAATTTTCATTTCAGTCAAATTTAACCAAAATTATATTATTTCAAGTACAATTTTAAAATCTATCAAGCTTTTTCATTAAACTTGATTCATAATTTTTAGAATTATTCGCAATACAAAGAAAAAAACCTACCCACTGACTTGGTGGCTTGTGTAACGGAAGAGCAGGAGGAGGTTGCATCATCGTATTGTAAGTATCTGATCCCAGAAGAAAGAGTTCATTCAAATTTACATAATCAGCAACGTCTCTGAAATATTGAAATATAAAAAGATCGCCATTGAAAAGGAGTGTCTGCATGTATAAGAAATCAAACTGCTTCATGTAATCATCTCTAAGTTCTTTCAAATGTGTAATGTCATTGAATTTTGCAACGAAAATTTATTTTATGACAAAAGAACAACAACGATAATAAGGCATCATAATTAATCAAAACGAAATAAAGCATGTTTTAATTAATTATAACAAATTTACAATTTTCTTCCCAAATTGTAATTTTATTTAAAACAGTTCACTGAGCATTAAAGAAACTTATTTTATACATATCAGTACAGATCTTGTTTTAAACATAAAACACTCGCAGCTTATCATTAACGATGTATCATTTAAATAACTCAGTGAACTTTCTATGATGCAACTTTCAAACAAAAACTTGTTCACTTTAACCGCCCATCTAAAATCATGATTCATCCAGTATTTGTAAAAAAGGTTCAATGAGTCATCTTAAAAATATTTCAATTTAAAACCTAATCCTTTTCATTGTTTTAATTGAATTGATTTTAGTAATTTTTAAACCCAAAACTACGCAGGCTAGTCATCAGCACAAAAGTCAACACTATAGTCACTTTCCTGCACTTTACCACGTTTAACTTCTGTGATATATACTACTCCTCCTACTGTCTTGTCCTTAGCAACACTTTGTTATATGAAACTTTCTTTCATCTTCTTCACTTTCTCTTCTCAAACGTACTTCCGTTATAATATATGTCTATTACTATAACAAACAGTGACTTTAACAAGTACTTGAAATAAATCACTGAAAAATCATTCTTTCAATCATCAACAATTTGCATAATTAAACTGAATGATGACATACTTTTCGGGAGACTCAGAATATTCGATTTCATCGAAAAATTCATCCTCTTCTCGGTAATCGTCATTTTCTTCATCATAAGAATTCAAGCTATCTCTTTCAATCTGAAATTTGAAATACTGTACAACTGTTAGTTGACATGAAACGACGAGACTAAAGATCTCAATTTTCATGCAGTCATTTACTGCAATATACATTTCGCGAAAAATTTAAAAACAATACAAAATTAAAACTGCTGGAAAATCTAATGTGCAAAGCATAATAAATATCAAAAATATTACAGTGTTACTGAATAATAATAAGTTCTCACTGAATTATTTCTTGCTTCTACTACGTAGATATAAATATGATTAAAGTTGCACAGTTCGGTAGTAATATTATGTCTCAGGGTCCAAGCTATTCCGAATATATGCATAATTTTGTAATAAGAAGCAAAATTGAGCAGGCAATAAGAAAACCCTTAAAAATGGAAAATAAATACAATCTTCGTAAGTTATATTACATTAATCACAGTAGCAATTACAGTGTAGACTAAAACTGACCAAAATAATTTACAAAAATATTCTGACAAAAAAAAGTTTACGCACAAGAGCAATGAATGAGAAGTGAAATTATGGATATGGTTATGAATCTAGCGTTAGAACGAAAAAATTCTGGAACAAAAAAGAAAATTTTTCTGAGCAATTCTTCATAACTGTGGTCTAAATTTACATCAATCAACAGCTAACATACTATAGTATGTTATATTTGTTTTTAGAGAGTTGGAACGAAGGAAGAATTTTAAAAACAAGGGAAATCTACGGCGGAAACGGAAGAATTTCACTAGTAGTTAGTTTTTCTGTACTAATAAGTACCAGGTATTTCACGAAATGTCAACACCAATAAAATTTTAGATTATTCATAATTATTCCAGTTACTCATCACATAGGCCATAATTTAGCTCATTTACATTGTATCACCAACAATTGGCTATATTCTCATCTAAAAATCCAAACAGAGAATTGCTATGTGTAACGAATAAACAAACATACCTTCGCTTCCATTGCCTAACATATTTTAGCAGTTTCTTTGAAGTCTACTATAACTGCATTTAAGTAAAAAAATAAATAAATAAACATATTTTAGCTTAGCATCTCAGTAATTTATCTGAACTACTAGGTTTTTTTGTTCATTCTTAAATGCCTACAAACTGAGACTGTATTAAGTTCTAAGCATAAATTAGCCCAATTTGATGCTAAATTCAATTATACCATTTATTTACTGTAAATTTTATGTAAATCATAATTGACAAATCTGTCAAGTACATTATGAAAGAATTTCTTTTTCCTACTTTCCTCTTTAAAACCTTTTCTTCAAAAACACAATTCTGAAAAATGGAAATACTTCGAAAGATAAGATGAATGTTAATCCATTTCATCCTTTAAAGTATTTTTATTTCACTTTTTGAATACAATGATAAAGAAAAGTAAGTTGAATCATGCGAAAAAAAAAATAGTAATGAAAACTAATTGTCTGCAATATTTGCTAACAATAACAACAATTCTTAAATTCTTTCAAGAAATGTCGAAAAAAACTAACAATAGTTTGATTAGAAGGTCCTGCAGACTTCGTTTTCCGTGGAGTTGGTATTGGTTTCAATTTTTCTTCAAATGGTGAGGAATCAGTAGTTGAAGATGCCTCATCATTCTGCTTTTCTCCATGTGCATGCGGTGAACTGAGTGTTCGAACTGAAAATAATATTTTCTTGAATTCAATAAATGCTTCATTTGTGTTAATTTATTTCAATAATTTGCAGATAACAAATATAATAATAATTCAAGATAAATAGCTAAATAATTAGTTGGTAAGTTTCATTTAAGCGTGTTTTAATCAATTGAGAAAGATTCATGCACATAATCATTTAATCTTATTTGTTCACAAAGCCATGCAACTTATTATTTGTACAATGCTCAATTGGATTCATAGAACTATCTTAACACGTAATAGACTACTACTCACCACTGCAGAGTGTTTCCGATAATTTGGATTAGTTAGTAAGTTATAATAATTACTCTTTTAATTAATAATTAATCGCAGAAATATTTTTTTTGTAATTATTTTAGCGCTTTTGATATTTGAAGAAACGAACAAAAATTTATACTAATCAAATAATTCAATTAGCATCATATCATTTAATCAATGAAAAGAATCAAACTTGAGGATGTGTTTATCTAAAAGGTAGTATAGAATGACTAACAAGGTTTTTTAAGATGTCTTGGTGAAGTAGTCGTTTTGGTAGATGCTGAAGCAGACTGTGTCATCATCGTCATCTGATCTAACTTTTTCTCCCATGTATCATCTGATGTCAATCCACTGTCATCTGATGTACGATCCATTGTATTCGATGGTAATGAGCCCTGAAATTAACTTTGAAATAATAATTATAACAATTAAAATAGCCTAATTACGTCATTCAAATTTAAAAAATTAAAAAATCGATACTTAAATATTTCACAGCTTACTTAATTAAAAACCGCAGCCGTAATATACCACAAGCAGAATTCATATAACACAAAGATGATACTTCTTAGGTATAATTTACTTCAGTAATATGAGTGCATGCTGGTGAAAAGAGCGCAAATATTACTACGATATATTATGATTATGAAATTCATAAATGCAACAAAGTGAAATAAATGCGACCGGTCTAAAATGATTTTCAATCAATATTCCATACTGTTCTATCAAACTTGTAATAATAGATGGATTTGTTTGTTTTTTTTGCAAATTTATATGCAAAAATTGTTACGAAATTTTAGAAGTAGAGTTTTTAGTTTTGAGATAAACGTAAGTTCACGTACCGTGACAGAATTAGAGAAAAGAGGCGACATATGCCAGTGCTTCGTTCGAGCAGCACACGACTTCAATACTTGTAATTGAGCAGTACACCTAAGATTTTGTAGGCGTAAACGTTCATTTTGGTTTTCTAGCTGAAATAATAAATATTAATTCGTACAAATAATTTCTAAAATATAATTCAATTCGATTTATAAGTTGTATAACTAAACTTATAAGTATGATAGAATTAGTTAATTTTTAATAAGAAATTGAAGACTTTTTAAACTGAGTCTGAATCACAACTTCATAAAAAGTCAAAGGTCAATGGCTATTAAGGAATCATGAAATGGAAAAGCTTTTTAGTACGGTTTCATCTCTCACATATGGGCATGATAATTTCATATCAAAAAAGTGATTTATATAATTGTCCTCAGAAGCACTAGCCTTCTAAAGTTGTGATTCAGAATCACTTCAAGATTTATTATTTGCAAAAAAAATTCAGTAAAGATTAATCAGTATTTGAGTATTTAAAATGATAAGAAATTTTGAATTACTTCGTTTTTTTTTCAAATATCTGAAAAGTAAGCAAATATTTGGAAAAAATATGATAACATGTCAATAATATTCTCAATTTTTAATAAAGTGTAGTCAAAAAGAATAAAAAAATAAGCTACTCTAAGAATGAGAAATTTAAGGAATAGGCGAATATGCAAAAAAGATAATTATAGCTTATAGAGTAGTAGCTATTTGCTAGAAAAAATACTAGCTATGATATGAAAATGATGACCATAATAATAACAATAATAATGATAATATCAATATCAGTAATAACAATGATAAAACGCAATAATGAAATGAATTTGCTAAAGTATTAAAAATAATTAGTTGATCTGTTTTGTTTCTTTGCACAAACTTTTTGAATTTAATGATGATTGCTCAGAAATTCTGATTAATTTTCTTGCTTATTATTTTATTTATTTTTTCTTTTTCTTTTTATAAATTCTGGAAAAAAAATATTTAAATTATTAATACTTGAAATACAACTAACTAAATGAGCACGAAATAACCATGCAAATATAATTTGATGATAATTCTTTACTTAATTTATGCTTTTGAAAAAAAAAACACGATTTTCAAACAAGATTTTAAATTAGGATTATTATTTAATTATCACAAATTGGTTGTTTGAGAAGAAATATTAATCTACTTTATTTATAATATTATTGTAAATTATTATTGCTAAAAAATTGTATAAATTTTATGCATTAAAAAAGTATTCAATTTATTAATATAAATTTGCATAAATTATAGAATAAGCACAAGTATTTATGCAAATTTAGTATTAAGAATAAAATTGAACATAAAAATAAAAATTGATTGTAAGTAGAAAAAGATTTAGCAAAGAAGAAGTCATGTAAACTGGTCTATCAAGTAACTATAATTTTGGAGTAGTCTTGAAAGAAGAAATTTGCATCTTACACCCTCCAACAATGCCAATAATATCATGCATGAAGTGGCTACTGATGCAGTAGGCTATTTGCTCTTACTTGGCTAGTCTAGCTTAGTCTACCAACTTGGCTTCTTAGCCCATCTTCAATGCAATTAGGCCAAGCTGCGCAGTTACATCCAAATTTCTAGCCATAATAACGCCGCTATAAGTATTAATTATTCTAAATTTAATCATTCTTCTTTAAGTTTAATCTAATTTCCAAATGTCTTAATTTGACAAAACCGAAAATAGCCACAAATTAAATAACTTTTTTGTACTCCTTATTTTTTTAAATTATTTAAAGTACTGTTTAAAATAAAAATATGTACAAATTTTTTGCATTAATAATTATTAAACCTAATTTTTACAATAGCAAATAATTGGTGCTAGGATATTTGATTAAAAAACTTTCTATT